GAACAAATGACTATAACTTCACTTCTAAAAGGGTTAAATTAATAATCTTTTTTCTCAAAGCAAGGTTACATCTGTGAGTTGGATGTAGAAGTGTCAGAATCAATATAGATGTTTCTGTGTCAGAGTAAATTCAGATGGAACATTGTAAAAAAAGGTAAATTCTTACCTCCGCCTACAAAAAACCCATTACTTATAGTGAAAACTACCCTTGGATGATGGTAAGGTAGACTAAAAGCTTTAGGAATCCAAAGTACAACATATAATAAGTACCCTGTATCAAGATTGATGCAAAACAAGTGACATTTGACCTTTTTAGAGAGATTTAGCAAAAAGAAACCACTTCTGGGGTCATTTGGGTGGATTTTCCATATCTCTGGCCCCCCTTGCTCAATTTTGATGGTTGACACCTCTTTCTGACCGTTAGAGCCAATATAATCGAAGGGGGAGTCCCCCACACACACTCATTGTGAAAGAAAAAGGTGGGGGCTTTGCGCATGTAATGTTGCATTAGAGTGAAGCTACACTCTAGCTCTGACATCTAGAAACCTAAAAGCATGGATTATCCGTCTGTTTGCTCATGGATTATCAGAAATCATTTCAAAGGGACACAGACACATTGGATTAACCTATGGATTAACTTCAGCAGCGTTTTTATCGTTTTAATGCCATTGAAGACCACTTTGGAGAGACTACAGAGCCAAGGTAAAAATGTTAGCATTTTTAGCTACCTAGCGTCACCTGTTTTGATGTCCGTTTTTGCTTATAACGTCGCAAATTCGTATAATTCAGTGATAATGTGGGTACCCATCGATTCTGTGTCACCTCACGATGTGAAACGATGTCATGGATGTAGAGAAGAGATAAATAATAAGGTTTTGTGAGTGATTTTCGGTGCAGTAAGGTGTTAGCATTTTTCGCTCGTTGCTAATTCAGAGGCTCAGTGTTAGCATTGTGGGTTTTCTTTTGAAAAATAAATAAAAATGATCAGTTAGATGAGTTTCTTCCCGTTACATGGATATAAAACATTCATAGTTTATTAAATGAACATGCCCTCAGACACTGTTTCCTGCAAGATGTTGCGGCAGTGCCCCGGTACCGGGCACTCTCGGGCTTAACAGGTTAAAGGTCACCTATTATGCAAAATCCACTTTTTCCCCTCTGTGTAAAGAGACTCTGAGAGTTTCAGAGACAAAGACCCCCTCTCTTTTTATCCTGATCCATCTTTATAAAAACCTGTCTGAAAATGAGCTGATCAGATTTTGGTCACTTTGTGATGTCACAATGCTTTTTTGGTTGTGCAACCATTAGCCAATAACCAACCAAGGTAACATGTTTTGTATCTGAGACCTATAATCTATTGTTGAAAAAGAGAATAATAGGGGATCTTTAAGCATAACAAAATGATGGTAATCATGTTTTCCTTGTTTATACCTCATGCATTGATCAAAACCCCCAAAAGCTATATCTTCCTCTAAAAAATACTGGCAAACTCTAAACAGTGTCTAAACCTCTTTATTTCTAACACACACATTAGTGAAACTGTTTGGCTAGTGATTCATTGATAGACTGTTTCATCATGGATAAATGCTAAATATTATGCAAAATCCTGTATACTTGGGCATTTTCAGGAAATAGACAGAGTCATAAACACAACTGCAGTTTATGAAATCCAATATACCCTACTACATCATCCAATATATCAGCCTGCTGCCATCCAGCGTTCTCATCATGTGAACTTTGACTCTGAGTGAAGCTTTTGAGTCTAATGTGTTGTGGCAGAAAGATAATGGCCTCCATCTTTGTCTACCAAGACAGCACTGTCAGTCAGTTAGCATGCTAGTTTCAGCAGAAGTCTCTGCTACATAATACATAGACATTTTTGACGTAAAACTCTTCACATTCTGTTGATAATGTGTTTTAATGTTATAGACTTAAATTCTGGGACAAACAGTATATTACACAAGTTACCCTTTAAAAAAACAAACATTTTATGACTGTTAGGGTTTTTCCGCTCTGGCCATCACCTCCATGAACTCACCAAAGTCATTATTGAGACCTGGGAACAGGGTTTCATCACTGACAATACACTGGGGCTGAAAATATGAGCACTCGGGTGATGGGATGTGACTCTAATGAGCCGCCTCACCAGGAAATGCTCAAGACTGTGATCAGAACAGTGAAGGATTGTGGGAGATGCTGCTGGTGACAGGTTGCAAACAAGCTGAGAGTCAACAAACCTGAGGTGGTAGTTATTAGTCTGGTGCCAACTCAGAGTCATATACTGTAGTGAATCCGGAAATGTTGAGCAGTGGCGAGCCGTGACTTTTATACCTAGGCCCTCTGACCCCCCCCCTTCCCTCGAAAAAAAAAAAAGAAAAAAAAAAAAAAGTTATTACGTCACAACGTATACTTCAGCGGAATATCAAAACAACGGCCCGGGGTGCCAAACGCATCAATGAAAGCGACCCTCTACCACACAAAACAACACCTGTAAATAACCCGATTTGTGTTCTTTGAAATTGAAAAGGATATTGCATTGTGTTTGTTACTTTCGTTGCAGTTGTTCATATGTCTTAAGCAGTGGCGAGCCGTGACTTTTATACCTAGGCCCTCTGACACCCCTCGCCCCCCCCCCTTCCCTAAAAAAAAAAAGGAAAAAAATAAGAGTTATTACGTCACAGCCTTTAAGTCTATGGTCACAGCGTATACTTCAGCGGAATATCAAAACAACGGCCCGGGGTGCAACACGCATCAATGACAGCGACCCTCTACCACACAAAACAACACCATTTATATAAACACCTATCATGACAGGGCACCCACATCCAAGTAACAATTACAAATGAATGAAGTCGGCACGGCGGCCCACATTGAAAATGACTTAGGCCTACCTTTGATGATCAAATCACTTAAACACAAAGTCCATCCTCCTGTCCTTTTGGATGAAGCACGGGGTCATGCAGCTGATCCTTTGCCACTCCAGTTTATCATTGTAACTCAATCTTGAAAATGACTCGGTTAATAATTTCGCAACGATGTCATCACTATCACTGACATGAGCCATCATGAACGAACTTATGCTAATCATAAATCTATCGATTAGATTTATGATTCGAAGATTATAAAAGTAGGGTCACTGCACCACTATAACACACATGCATAAACTTCACAGCGGGCGGAACTTGTCATAAAGTCAGCGAAAATAAAGACCACCCATTTAGAGGGAAGATATGATTGGTCAATTGTACTGTCATTTGACATTACTCTCTCATTGAGTTACTATAGCTGGCCCTCTGTGAATTTACAGCAGGACCACCAAGCTCTCCCGTCTTCACGGTAACTCGCAGAGACGGCCAAAGGAGCTTCTTTCATTTACAGTGGCGTTTTTATATGTACAAAAGTGGTGGGGCACAAAAAACTTAGATGTCTATATATAAGCTTCTGCAGTGATGTGCAGTGAGGTTCATGGCTGGTGAGGCACTGGCACTGACTCTTCAGGTTTACAAATATTATATTTTGACCTAAACCAAAATATAATATTATTTTCAAAAGCTTTTTTTGTCTGATGCTTTGATTAATTTTAAACAGACAGTTCAACAAAAGGATACCCAAAAAATGTAATTTTATCATTTAAATATTGAATTGTTCTCTCTTAGTAAGATCCCATTTTCAATAAAATTGCGGTCTTACCTTGACTTGAAGATGAAGTCCATTTGCCTATCCTTCTGGACAAAAATGTCTATAACTTTTTTGTAAAAGTCCTCCTTATCTTCTTGTTGTTTCAAAAGTCTATCATAAATCTAATCGATAGATTTATGATTCAAAAATTATAAAAGTAGGGTAGACATGTGGATATTATCCGGCTGAACAAAACGTGCATTTATCTAACAGGTACGTTTCCCACAGATCTTATTTCCAGCTATTTTCTAAAATCCTATGGAGAAATCTCATTGCTTTTTTGTCGAGGGAAGCCATGCACAGCTTACTTCCTGGTTTTAGGACGCGTCACTGCAGCTCTCTCGTCTCCTCTTCACACACCACACTTTTCGCGGCACACGTACTTACAGCCAATCAGCTCTGAATGATGGGAGATGACGTATGGTGCGGATGGCAGCTCATGGCCCCTATGGTCATTATTTTTTTGCCACACACATTAAATAGGAAAATACTCTGAGCATGTGCAGTGTAGTTTTTACAGTCACCGTTCACTTCACAGTGAGAGGAAGGGGCATGATCAGGTTTTCTCCCACATGGCTCTAAACAGCTCAATAGGCACACACTGTGACTGTAGACACACTAATTAGAAGAACACAGACTAAAACAGCAATGTACAGACGAATCAGATGATTAAACATGATCTTAAAATATATTTTATATTTAAAAAAATGTTTTTTTGCATTTTTTGTAATCATTATTTGTAATACTTTCTGCTGACACTAGGTGGGGCTGTGCCCATTTCTGACATTTTCAGGATGAACAATGGCGGTTTAAACCAGAAAGTGGCAGTATTCGTGGGCTGATTTTGATTGAAAAATTAAAAAGTATTATCTCGACTGTCCAAACGATCCACAGTCCCCTAAATCTTCCAAATCGTACAAATACTGCCACTTTCTGGTTAAAACTGCAATTTATTATCCTGAAAATATCAGAATTGGACTACACATCCTCAATAACCCCCAAAACCACTCAAAAATTGTCCAAATCGGCCAAGCTATTTTTTTAACTATTGGCTATAATGGTTATTAATGCTAATTAACACAAGTTATGCTAATGGTCCAAATTGCCCAACATATGCAAGTTAGCACCCGGCAGTTTCTATGTGCTGGGGACCCTACTATACATTTCTAACATAAAACTTTGGGGAACTCAACATGAGCTGGCAACCAGACCATAACCTGGATATCTTTCTGTATCTGGCTTAACGTGATACAACGTGAGCCGTGATGATGTGCAGATCTGATCAAGTACATTCAAATGAATGTGTTGCTTCAACACATCAGTATGAAATAGAATATAATACTCTTTATTCATGCTCTTGGGGAAATAACACATTACCTGGGCGCAGGCCTACTTTCATATCTATAGCAACACGGGGCATGCATACAACCTATGACACATAAGGGAATATATGATAAGAATGGGCTATATATTAATATTTCACAAATAAGTCTGAATTATACAGCTTATATATTCTGTATTTATATGTATCTGTGTAGAAAAAATACATCGCCTTGGTATTTCCATCACTTTTCATGATTAAGTCATCACAGGACAACATTTCAACAAGAGTAAACGTTAACTTTGCATTTGGCTGACGAGAAAAAAACATTCACATAAAAGTCACGGAAGACTTGGACATACAAATATAGGTAAACATGTTTTGTAGAAGATCTACTCAAAGCTTGTTTGTGCACATTGTGATATTGAAGAGATTCCCTAAATCAGTAACCACCCAATCACAAGCAGCATCATCAAAGGCCTAATGCTCAGCTGGTCTGTCCCCTGGAGCTCTTCCACATACACATGCTTGTAAGATGAGGCTGTGCTTGTAAGACGTCCAACCCCCCTCAGGGATCCTCCCCCCGCTCTATGAGCTGCTGCTGAGTCTGCGGCGCAGCAGGGAGGCCGGCTTGCTCTCGCCGTCCTCTACGTCGCTTTCACATTGTCTCTGGAGGACAGAAACACAACAGCTGGATTTAAAATAAGGCACACTGTGTTTTCCTCTCTGATAAAGCTTATAGTGAGGGCTGGCTCTTGGTGGGAGAGAAGCTCCATCTGTAGGGAACACAGGGATTTTAGACTTTGCAGAAAAACCTATAGAACACACTACAGAGGGAAAACCCCAAAATGCGTAATTGGGCCTCTTTAAGGCCCCGTCCACACGGAGACGATATCAGTTGTATCCACTAACGTTCTCTATCGTATAGACCAGGGGTCACCAACCTTTTTTAGGGTGAGAGCTACTTTCAAAAAATAAAACAAGTCGGGGGCTACTTTTACTCCTCTTTTTTTTGTTTTTTGCAGTGTATATATTTAGCACATTTTAACATTATTATATGCTGACCTTTAACCTTTGTGTGCTGTTTGGGTCTGTGGGACCCGTTTGCAGTGTTTACTAAAAGAACATGTATTCAATTTAATTATTTTAACCTGCTTTATTTGGGGGTGGACCTCACCTCCTCTAGGGCAGTGATTCTCAAACTTTTTCATACCAAGGACCACTTAGCCAATACAAAAATCACTCGCGGACCACCTAACTCCACAAATATCCAAAATCACATCGTTTTTCTACAACAGATTACAAATCATGTTTTTAAATGTTGAAGTGAAAAGCATCAATCTGGAGCACTTTGAGCACAACATGAATTGATGGAAACAGCTCTCAACACTCAGATGAAAGGGAGCTGTATACTTTTCAATAATCCAAACATCTTTAGAATATGATCACAACCAATAACAAATCATTTAAACTGGTTTATTCTTACCTTATGTTACCTAGTTAGCATTCTTTCTTTCTATTCATGCATATTTTACTAATCACTCCCCTTTTAAACTGTTATTAGTTTTTTTACTGTCCTATACACATTGGAATGATTTCTTACTTTATCTATATTAAATAGTCTCTCTCTCGACGATGCAGAGAAGAGGAGAGATAGAGAGAGCGAGAGAGAGACAGATGAGAAGAAGAGAGAGAGAGCGAATGAGAGTCGAGAGTAAGACGGAGAGATGATGAGAGAAGAGAAGAGAAAAGAGAAGAGAGAGAGAGAGAGAGAGAGAGAGAGAGAGAGAGAGAGAGAGAGAGAAGAGAGAGGGTAAGCGAGAGAAGAGAGAGAAGACGAGAGCGAGAGAAGATGAGAGAGATAGAGAGAGAAAGAAGAGAGCGAGAGGAAGAGCGAGAGAGAGAGAGGAGATGAAGAGAAGAGCCAGAGAGAGGCGAGAGCGAGATGAGAGATGAGAGAAGAGATCGCTAGAGAGAAGCGAGAGCGACGAGAGAGCACGATAGAGAGAGCTCTCGGACGCTAGAGATAGCATATAGCTCTATTATCATAGCGCTCTCTATCTCATCTCTATCTCTAGAGCTCGCTATCTATATCTATATATCCTCTCTCTTCTCTCTCTCCTCTCTCTCTCTCTCTCTCTCTCTCTCTCTCTCTCTCTCTCTCTCTCTCTCTCTCTCTCTCTCTCTATCTCTCTCTCTCTCTCTCTCTCTCTGAGACTGTGTGCTCCTCCATGGCGATGACGGCTTGCGGTAAAAAAAAATCATGTAAAAAAAAAAAAAAACTCATGTTGCCCCTGCGGGCGACTAAGTACCCACGGGCACCGTGTTGGCTACCCCTGGTATAGACGGTTCGTCCACACGAGGCCGAAACGGAGCCCCAGATTCGGAGCCCGAATCCGATACACTTTCATAACGGCTCCCAGAGTGGGTAGGTCTGGAAACAAAACGCTTGCGGCTCCGTGTGTACGCCCTATACGATCATTCCCTGAAAACGATGACGCCATAGCACCGCCTCTCCTGCGTCATTGCTGATGCGTTTCGCCAACAACAACAACAACAATGGCGGATCACAGGGTTGCGTTCGTGCCCCAGACGCTACTGACCATGCTACAGATTTTAGTGCAAAATCTACAGCTCCTCTACCACAACCATCAGCAACAATAATAATATAATATAATAATAATAATAATGATAATAATCGTCATCGGTCTTATTCGCTGCGTTTGGTGTATTTTGTGGCAGAAGTACAGCGCCACTTACAGGCATATGTACTACAGCGTCTCCAGCGTTTTTGAGCGTTTTCGTGTGGACGGACAGTTTTTTGAAAACGACTTCGGTTCGTTTTCGTCTCCGTTTCGTCTTTCGTCGATATGACTTTTTCTCCGTTAATCTCCGTCACGTTGTTTCCATAGCAACAACAACTTCCTGTCAACAGCGCTAACTCTCCTTCAAAATAAAAGCATGTCCATACAAATTGGAAGCCAAGCCAAATTACACTTAAGACATATACAACTGCAACGAAAGTAACAAACACAATGCAATATCCTTTTCAATTTCAAAGAACACAAATTGGGTTGTATACATTAACAAATAACTATAAAACAACAATACTGTAGATTGTAGAATAACAAAATGAATGCCGTGAATAAACCGAAATACACATGTTGAAGCGGTTCGCTGCTGAGTACTACGCATCCCCCCCGCGCGGGCCGAATATTCGCTGCTGATTACTACCGAATATATCGGATTCCATCCGATAGCTGCTATAATACAAAACAAAACGTCTGCCTGCTCTCCACAATGATCAATGACAGCGAACGGATGGTCAAAGTAAGGTACAAATAAACAGAATCACACGAAGCCTGGTTAGTGTTGCCTGACTTTATAAAGTGTGTTTTTTTTACAAGTGTGTGGTTGCCTTCTAGTCACTTTGCTCAGCGCTACTGCTGGTTACAACTTTTATTTGCCGTACTCGCCATAAACTGTTGCTCAGGTTGATCCCGCCCCTGCCCCCGACTCCGACGTAAGCGTGACGTATGTGGTTCTTGCTTCTAGACCACATTTTTTTTGGAGCTTGGTAAGAACCGGATTTCGGGGAAAAGAGCCGGCTCCGCTGCGGTGTGAACAGGAAAAAACGATCAGGCTCAAGCTCCGAACCGGTGTAGGTACCATATCTGCTCGGCCTACCAGATCAGCTCGGGGTCCGTTACGCTTACCAATGACGTCAGGCATTGGCTGTACGGCAACCCAAGAGGACATTTTACACGGCCAAATTCCGCAAAGAATATTAAAAAATAACAATCGACAGTGAATGTATGTTGGTGGAACTGTGTCAGGAAAGTGAAGTGTTAATTAAGGAATGTTAATGAAGAACTGAAATGCATAAAATATAAAGTTAATATGTTTACATGATTTTGTTGTGCAATAAAACAACCAGAGAAGCGATCTACAAGGAAACATAGCACACCGTGTCCTCATGCTCCTGTTTCACCTGCTTAATACAGGTTTCATCACTGCTACTGTGGTCATATGGGGGACCCGTAACATTTACAATAGTTGAGATGTGAAGGGGGTTATGTTTTTTGTCTGTGTTCTGGGTTCCTGCAGATTTTTGAACAGACAGTACACACGTTCAGAGGATGAAGCTGTTAACGTGCTGCTACAGTACCATAAACTGGCTGTAGCCCACAAACTGAAATAGAATGATCAAGTTTATAGTAAATAATAACAAACTCCAGTGTTAGAATTCCATAAATAAAATGACATGCAAATAACATTTTCTTGGCTGTGGACTTGTACTCTAAATAATTATGTTGAGCTCATGGTAATCTAATTCAATAAACAATAACTGCAATGAACAGATAGCATTTTCTGACTCGTAAAATGATTGGATATGGTGTAATTTGGTAAATGATTCTGTGTTGAAAAATGTATATCTTTAAAAACTGCGTTGGTGTATGATCACATTTGATTTCTAATTTTAAATAAAAGGAAAGAAATTCACAGTTATTGTCAAACAGAAGTTAAATCCATTTCTCACTTATTCTAAGAATGTATTTCACCATATTCATATTTAAATGATCGGGAAATTACGTTGTAATGATAATAAATCACCTCCCTCGTTCAGATTATTGTCGATTGTTATTTTTTTAATATTCTTTGCAGAATTTGGCCGTGTAAAATGTCCTCTTGGGTTGCCGTACAGCCAATGCGCGACGTCATTGGTAAGCGTAACGGACCCCGAGCTGATCTGGTAGGCCGAGCAGATATGGTACCTACACCGGCCCTGGAACCGCGTTGGTGTGAAAGGGGCATCAGGGACCAGAGGAGGATCTGACACTCCTGCCTTTCTTCACAACTCCTTAAAGCATGCTGAAGGGGCCTGTGGTCAACTCTATGATCTGTTGTCAGTGTATTAGCCACATTTACAGAATAACCTGTAAGGTAGAGGTGTTCTGTGTCTGTATACAGGCAGTATGTGAAATAAAGAGCTCTCACCTCCAGAGGATCTGCCTCTGAGCGTCCCTTACACAGCAGATTCAACCGGACCAGCCGGTTACACATCCACACCATGTTGTAGGACATCTGGAGGGGGGGGGGGGGGGAGACAACGTTTTACAGTGTTCAGATAACGGTACCAGCAAACACAAGTCTTTATCCAATCATTTAAGTCATTTATCCAACAGAAAACACCGTCCTTAAATCTCCAAACTTGTAAATTAAACATAGGGTTTGGATATGTGCCAGTCTGCTGTTCTACAGATCATCTCCAAGTGTCATCACCAGTGACTCTTTGAGACTATCTCACTGGTGGGAGAACAGCTGAGTCCTGGTGTTGTTTCAGAGGTTTTAAATAGTAAATGAAGGTTTCCATGCTGTTCCAAATGCACCTAATATTGCCAAGCCTTCAGGAAGTGGTCCGGATGTTGAAGCACATTTTCATAAAGTCCAGACGGTGGTACTTCACTTCCAGGTCAGTCCATGACGTCATTGTGCCGAGAAAGATTTTTCCCATTCGCTTATATTGGGAAAGAGTCCTCTGTTAATCCGTGGATCATTTTTGCTATCAATTTGCCAGTACTAATACTTGAATAAAAACATTCAAAATGGGCTGAAAGCTGAATTTAGAGTTATCTCTCTCCATTCATCTGACTGAGCCGATACGCTGCCGTGACTAAATGCAGGACAAAAGACACTGCTCAAGATTTTAACCTTGTTAGTTCAGATTAAAGTCATAGCCTGCAAAGAACATAATATACCATGATTGGTAATTGTTTTTTATTTACAAAATGTATGTCAGCAACTTAGTTGAAATTGTAATAAATTACATTATTAAAAACTAAATTCTATGACGACAGGTGTAAGGACAGCCTTTGCCACACTATCACGTATGGCATTATCATAGACACTTCTTCAGTAGGGGGCCACAGGGGGGTCCAAGTGCAGTGTTACAGGTACTCACCCCTTTTGCCCCCACACCAACCTAGAACTGCCCATGCTTGACAGGGGGAATTGGAGGCGGGGCTAAAGGAAAACAGGTTAGCACACTTTATGGACCCACTGGATGAGGATGTTCCGGGTATTTATGTTCTCCATAGTCAGGATATTGGTCTTCATGAGCCACTGAGCAACCCTCCTCTAACTCTGCATTCAGTTCTCTCTCTAACATCCATTAATATTGCTCACAGTTTTGGTGAGCAGTGACTTTGCTTCTGTGCCTGTGAAACATGAATTTGTTATTTGTTGTACGCTCCTCCATGTTTAGCTTGAACTGCCAAGTAGCAGTTCGGGGGCCTCATTTATAAAGGGATATACGCTCAAAAAATGGCGTACGCCAGTTTCTACGCAATGTTTGCGATTTATAAAAAACTAACTTGACTGGAAAATGTGCGGTCCTCCACGCAAACTCTAACCCATGCGTACGCACTAAGCACACACACGGGAGAGACGAGAAACTGCGACACCGTTGGCAGAAGGAAGAATGGAGAGAAATATGTGGAAATAATACCATAAATAAAATGTTACCTCTCATTTATCATATATGAAGAATTCATTTTCAAACATTGATTAAAGCCAATCTTAAAATGATTTAACAAACGCCTGTTTGAGACTCCTCAGTGCACACAAAAACATAACTTGGAGAAATAAATAAATACGGATATGTTATTTAAACCACCTCGAATATGTTGTGTTAATGTTATGAAATGTTTTCTCATAAATGATGCGGTAAGCAGGAGGACAGAATTACGTCTAAACTGACGCCGTTTTGCTTTTCTATAGGTTGTAGATACGAGCATGGTTTTATATACTATCACGTTTAATCGTGTTTTATGCCGTTTGCCAAGACTTGATAAGTCGCTCGTAAAACACAGGAGGTATGGAAACTAAGAACACCATATGTGGTCAATTGTTCAGCTAATATAACACAACACATTGTATTTCCTTTAACTGGTGGATTATGGATATATAGTTGCTGATCGACAGCTGGAACACAAACCACCAAATACAACAAAAATAATTCAGATCCAGTCGTCATGACTCCACTCCGGAGGGATTCCCCCATCATTTCTTACAGTTTCTCATCAAGGGGGTGTCTCCTGTCCCCGGTACAAACACACTGCCTTATGTGTATTTTTTTTGTCATTAACTTTTTTCGGACCACTTATTTATTGATTTTGGTGACGATCCGACCTCCATGCTGCTACTCTGGTTCAAACTGCATCCACCAAACAATATGATTTATCTCAACCTCCCCAAAATAACCAAAATCTGACACGGTGTGAGAGATGTCTTTTTTAGCTGTTCTGTCCTCATTTCCTGCGATCTTCTTCATGCAGTCAGTCAGAATGAATGAATGAATGGGCGTTTCTTTGACTATTTATAGGCAAATATGGGAAATATTTATAAAGGGAAACAGGCGTAGGGAGTGCCGTACGCACTTCCCTCGCCGGTACGCAATGTTTTGTGAATCGGAAAATGTCGGACAATTTCTGTACCTATTTTTGTGCTTTGTACTACGTAAGCAACCTTCCCACGTCAATCCTACGCAAGGCGTTATAAATGAGGCCCCAGAGCATAATCGCCTAGGTTTTTTTTCTGAATTGATTTCCAGATGATGACAAGTTTGTAAAATCAGTCAGTGGATTTTATGGCTTTTTGTCCCTTTAGCCATCAGGGTGCCCAATCATGTAACCCTGTTGCCCATACAAATAACCTGCACTGAACATTAATAATAGTTGCACTGTATGCACAAACCACTTTCAGCCACACTGGTACATGCACATTTAAATGTATATTTAACCTTGTTCACATCTGTTCATAAGTACATTCACCTGATCAGAGTTTACTTTTCTTTTTTCTATTCATACTATTAATACATGTTATTCTCATTATATTTTTTTCTTGTTTGTATCCTTAAAGGTAGGGTAGGTAAGTTTGAGAAACCGGCATCTGTGGAAGCCGTAGTACTGTAAAAAGTACGACCAATCATTTGAGCCGGCCCGGCTAAAATAACTGGATGGCCTACCTGCCTGTCAGCCTTCCATCTGTGCACAAACTTTCTCGTGCCCCTCATTGGTCATGTGCGCGTTCGTGTGTGGTTGGAGGAGGGGCTCTATAAGGAAGTGGCAGATTTTCTCCGGTTGTGTTTTTTCAAATTCTAGCGATCTCGAGCTGGTTTCTCAAACTACCAACCCTATCTTTTAATATCCCTGTTTATATATATATAAGGTGCATCTTATCTTATAATAATATATTATACTACACTTACAGCGCATGCTGGTTCGGCAAAATGTCCACACTCACCTTCCATTTCCTTCTGGCATTGAACTTCTTGAAGCTCTTCATATTGATTGAGGATCGATTCCTGTTGGCCACCTGTGTGCGTGTGATGGGCTGCAACAGAGAGCAGTTGTATTGAGTAACACACACACACACACACACACACACACACACACACACACACACACACACACACACACACACACACACCACACCCACACACACACACACACACACACAACACACACACACAACACACACACACACACACACACACACACACACACACCACACACACACACACACACCACACACACACACACACACACACACACACAACACACACACACACACACACACACACACACCACACACACCACCACACACACACCACACACACACACACACACACACACACACACACACACGTGTAGTCATGACTCGTAGTCACCTTAATCCATGGGTGCAGCAGACACTCCTCTGCCGTCATCCTCTCACTGCAACACACAGAGACACAGACGTGGTTCACCAACTGGGGGGGTGCAATTAACTAGTTAACTAACAAGAAATACACTTTATTTATAATTACATGTGCGAGCTAACAGAACAAGCAGAAAACACAAGCATAATGCATATATGATATTAATATGCATTTGTAATCATAGTTTTACAGGTTAAATTAGTGTGTGAAAGAGTGTGGTTTTTGCTACCGTCATAAAGTTCATACTGTTGTTTGTGAACACCACCCCAAATTGCTCCTGTGGTGATTGTCCACAGTATTGAGTATGTAAGTCGCTTTGGGTTAAAAGCGTCTTCTAACAAGTGACATGTAATGGAATGTAATGTAACAAAGGTCATTTGTTGGAGCAGATCACCGAACGTTAAATGATGCTGCCGGTGAGTGTTGGACTTTTATCTCCATTCGTGGATTGTCCTCCTCGCTCAAGATATAGTAGAAACACTATCAAAGCGTTTGGGATGAAGCTCTTCGAGGGGGCTCTGCCCAGCGCCCTGCCAGATAAAGATGTTATGTGGACATCCTGTGGCTCAAAGGGGTAACTGCCTGTGATGTCCGCATCTCATTTTTCATAAGGATAAACATGTATTTAGCTTTAAAGCTGCACTCAGTAACTTTTGTCCTGATATTTAAATACAGATGATCATTCTCCTCTCCTGAATGTAAACAAATGTTTTTGCCGATGCATCACTCATTAGACATAGCCTTCAGTATGCAGCCACATTGCAGTGATGTACGTGTGTTTCTGGAATATATTTTAAACTAATGCACACAAGTCTCTTTTGTGTCTAAGAGTGCAACATAAACCCCCCATGACAGATCGTGTACCTATACCACATACCTGGGATCTTTCACCAGCAGCTTCTGGATGAAGTCTTTGGCCATGGAGCTGGTCATGCTGAAGTGCTGAGCAGCGAACTCGTAGTTCATGACGATGATGTTCCTCAGCGTTTCATCATCAGTGTCCCCTTGGAAGGGTGACAGACCACTCAATCTGAGGACAGAGAGCACAGCAGGAGTGAGACGGCAATATATATCTGCAAGGTATATGTCTCTGTGATTCCACTCCAGATAACAGATCAAAGTGGAAGGGTATAATCAGGCTTGGGGAGTAACAGGATTACATAATCAGGATACAATAAAAGTAACTGTATTCCTTTACAGTTACATAAAAAAAGACGTAATAAGATTAGTGTAGTTGATAACTAGCAGGATTACAGTGTCCTAAAAAGATCATAGTGTTTGTTGTAAAGGATCAGATGTTCTCTCTGCTCTTAGAGCTGTACTGTTCTGTAGGATAATACTTCAAGTGGGAATACTTCTACTGCCTGAATCTGCTTTATGGTTTTCACTTTCTTTGCTTCATTTCTTCTGTTTTTAATTCAGCAGGTGAACCTATATGTTCATAAAATAGTGTGTGTGAGCTTAACTGTGTGTATTAAACTAAGACGGAGCATTTTCTGTCAGCTCAGGTTTTATTTCTGCTTTTGTAAACTGTAGGATGGCTCATGTGTTTCATTGTTGGTGTATAGGCTGCTGTCTGAATCTGCTGAGTGAAAGGAAGGTCTTCCTATCAATAAGATCATTTCTGATCCTAAATATCATGGTTTCTTCTTTCCTAAGGTCACATTGTTCTGTTGTCTTACATAATACACTTAAGTAAAAACATCTTATTGATATTTAGTTTCTCTTGTTTTTATTTGCTTTGCATTTGATATTGAGGTAATTCAGAAGTAAAGTAATGTTTTTTTAACAGGTAACTAGTAATTACCTGTACTAGTAAATGGAATACATTTTTGAAGTTACCCTCCCAACCTTGTGTAATACACATGATGGTTAACGATCAACACACACTGTGGCTGAATTCAGAGTATCAATGAGTCAGCAGATGCTTATCCAGTATGTGAGCTGTCAGATCATTAGAAAATTACAATAACATGTGTAATGTCTACAAGAACTGACATGCCCCCCCAACACAGCAACACTAACAACTTACAGTATGAAGGTAATAACTCCGATGCTCCTGCAGCAGAAAGAAACACAAGACGCACACAGTCATACACGTTTCATTAGTGTGTGACAAACAGAACACAAATGCTGCCTTCTCAAAACGTCACGGACAGACTGCTGACACTGAGATGTTGGACAGTGTACGGAGGCTGACAGGGCAAAAACATTTCCATTAGGAGAAATGCAGTGCAGTTTCAGAAATGATGCAAATACAAAAACACAAATATACCAAAACACATGCAAATGGGGAAATGTGTCCACCAACGTGAGGAAACGTGTCCACCAACGTGAGGAAACGTGTCCACCAACGTGAGGAAACGTGTCCACCAACGTGAGGGAACGTGTCCACCAACGTGAGGGAACGTGCAGCATTTACTAAAAGCTGCATAAACCAAACGCTGCAAGACGTTCAAAACACAACGGAGACCAGAGGACACTAAAAAGGGACGCACACAGCTGGGAGACCAGGGGACACTAAAAAGTGACGCACACAGCTGGGACGGAGCGCTTGGTGAAGTTCAGGATTATAAAGCTGAACAACTGTCTCTGTTGTTGGAAACGTACCTAAAATATTTGATGGTCTTATTTTAACAATGTGATCACATGACTCCTTCTGATTTTACTGCAGATCTGCTGTAAGCTAGCTAGCTAACGTAGCTAACCTAGTCATTTCAGATATACTGACAAACACTTTCAGTTATGAGACAGACTAACTCTGCAACAGAGACAGTTGTTCAGCTTTATAATCCTGAACGTCAAAGAGTGCTCTGGTTTTTGTTGTGTTTTCAGCTTCTTGCAGCGTTTTGTTTTTGCAGTGTTTGGTTTATGCAGCTTTTAGTTATAGCTGCGTTTGTTTCCTCAAGTTGGTGGGGGTGTTTCTCCATTTGCATGTGTTTTGGCACACTTGTGTTTTTATATTTGCAATCGTTTGTGCAGCACATTTCTCCGAATGTAAATGTTCGAGGCCGCTGTCGGTGTGGGGGGGGGGGGGGGGAGGGCAACAGGGGCGAGTAGCCCTGTAACACTGAGCTTGGACCCCCCTGTGGCCCCCCTACTGAAGAAGAGTCTACGATAATACCATATGTGATAGTGTGGCAGCAAAGGTTGTCCTTACACTTGACGTCATAGAATTTAGTTTCAACTAAGTTACTGACACAAACCTTGTAAATAAAAAACAATTACCAATCATGGTATATTGTGTTTTTTGCAGGCTATTAAATGAGTAGAGAAGGCCTCAGGACAGGCCCGACATGTCTAACAGAAGAATATGCTCTCCCTCTATAGACAGCAAATAGAGAGATACTGAATAGTCCAACACTTTTTGGAATCACAGTGTGTGGGTGTACAACAATGAAATGTGCCAGTCTCTGTTGGAGATGTGGAAATGTGCTCACCACATATCTGCTGCTGTGCTCAGAGGGTCACTGGTGATCACCTCAGGGGCTGAGACAGAGAGAGACAGAGCCAGTGATGCTTTTGTAAAAACTGTGGCCGTTACATTCATGCTAACAAAGCATATTCAACTGAATTAAACTGGCATAGCAAGCAAGCAAAAAAAGAGAGACAGAGATAGAGATGGAGAGATCCCATGAGCAGTAGCTGAATCAAAGATGAGCCACTGAACAAAAGTGGAAATTCAACCTTAAAAGTGGCATATCTTGTAATAAGATAATATTTCTTCCAACAAAAAAATACGGAAAAATACAATAAATGGTCAAAATAAGATCACAAAATCATGAAGTGCATGTACAAAGAAAACAATATTTTGAGATAGTACATCTTAGGTGATATTAATGAATGATTTAATATCTGTACACGGTATTGGAGGAATCTACCAGATCTAAAAAATAACTCTTCCTCCTCACCAATGTACTGCGGGGTGCCGCTGGAGCTCCTGTACTCCTCCCCCTGATGGAAGCGGTGTGCGAGGCCGAAGTCGATGAGTTTGATGTTGGGGTGCGGGGCCACTCTGTCTGACAGCATGATGTTTTCTGGCTGGATGGAGAGAGAAATGATATCACAGCTGTGTTTGAAACATCATCAGCAGCAGGCAGTGGTTAGCTTCAGTTAGCTTCAGTTAGCTGGTACCTTGAGGTCAAAGTGTACGATGTTCTTGCTGTGCATGAACCCCAGCCCCTTCAGGATCTGCTCCATGAACTCGATAGCCTCACTCTCCAGCAGGTTCTCCTTTTCAGCAATGAAGTCAAACAGCTCCCCTCCAGTAACACTGAAAACAGAGGAGTGTCTTACAGTCAGGTGTTTCTCTTATTTTGACCAAACCCTGAACAGGACAGGGACAAAGCAGCAGAACATCATACAGGGAAAGACAACAGTAGAGATCGTCCATATAGCGAATTTCTCTGAACATCGTTTCTTTCAGTTGATTCCAATGAGCACAGAGCGCGTTCTTTTTCTGAGCACACTGCTTTTTTTTAGCTTTGAGAGCTTTGAGTTGAAAATATTACACTTTCCAGAAAAGTGCTGGTGAGGCCACAATAGAAATTGGAGGACAAGCTTGTTTTTGGCCGTGTCTTTCAGATGGAAGCCATCATAACTGTAAAGGAAACCTCTGGAGCAAAGACTCGAAACACAATGAGAACACAGGAGAGCTCGACTTGATGGCAGACACTGAAGGTTTATTGGAAGTTACGGCCGGAGAATTGACAGAGACATTTTCTGCAGCCACGAAGTGACACAGCTCCGGCATAATTCTGAAGATCTCTCCCACATCCCAAGTATTTATCTAGTTCTAGAAAAATAATGAATAAAGAGAGAAAGTGGCAGCCGAGGTCGCATGCCCGAACGTTGTCTGAAGGAGTAGAGTGATTAAAAGGCTGAGGCCTTGGTTCATATTATTCTGAGCAACAACAAAGACCAAAGAGCTTTTTTGTCTGAGCAGATCAGCCGGACTGATCGGTGAAGCTCATTCATACAAAGTCTGAGAGAAGCAGCTTCCAATTGGTGCTCAAGGTAATAAAACAAATATAAAGTATCCCGTATACACTAGAATTGCATCATTGGATTTTATTATCTGTCTAACAACAGCGGTGATACGTTGTCTAGATATTGTTGTCATAGATATTGTTGTCATAGATACAAACTCCGCCCATCCAGCACAGAGATCTTGGTGATGCATCCGTCACTTCCTGGGTTGACTTCTGCGACGCTGTCCTCTGGCATCCCCACTAAATCCCCAACAAGCACCAAATGATACTGAACCCCCCCCCCCCATCCGGTTCATACCTGTTGACTACAAAAACGTCCTGCTCACCTCCAAAGCCCTCCACAGCCTGCCCCCCCTATCTCACTGCACTCCTTCAGGATTACCCCCCCCCCTGCTCCCTCCACTAGTGGTAGTCTTTCAGCTGCACTGCACCCAGAAGTCCCCCCCCCCCCCACCCCACCCCACACACACCAGACAGTCTGACATCATCACCACATTCAAATCCACCTCAAAACCATACCCATGCTTTTTAAATCAAAGTCTATTTTTCATACAATTTTAGATTTTAGAGTTGATCTTTATTATTCTTGAGAGTTATATTTTCATCCTCACTTGCATTACTATTGCAGATCTGTAACATTTAAAGAGGAATTATTCTGCTCATATTTGTATGTTGTGCCTCTACTGTGGCATGTCTCCATACTTTAATGTTCAAAAAGGTCTTGTGTCTTGAGTGTTACGCAGTGATGTCACTATGTTCCGGAAGTAAGAAAGAGTACTTCTTTTATGCATTGTAAGTGGTCCTTGGGTGTCTTGAAAGGTGCCTCCAAATAAACTTTATTATTATAATTATTTAATATTTAAAAAAGCACAGGGAGCGTTTTTGGAGCGCCTTTCTGTCAGAAAAGACGTGATTGGCTGTGAGGGGTTTGGATTGTTAGCTTTTGAGATGTATTTAAGCTAATTGCCTGAGAGTGATGTTTTTTCATTCATTATAAACATGTATTTAGCTTTAAAGCTGCACTCAGTAACTTTTGTCCTGATATTTAAATACAGATGATCATTCTCCTCTCCTGAATTAGAGAACTCCTCCTAACACAACAGGTGGAGGTAGCAGTTCTTCATTTGGCTGACCTAGTGCTGGAAAGTAGCTAGATATATTTATAGACTATTTATAGATTTCTTCATTTATTTGAATAGACAGTGGATATTGTATCTATATCTATAAATGTCTATCTTGCTGCACATAATCAGATCATCCCTGAGACTCTCCTGCTAAACTGAACCCGTGTGCTGCGTGGCTCACAGGATCTCCTCTGTGTCTACAGCTTTGCCTTTATCCCACTGTTTCAGCGACTGTGAGGATTTACGGTGCTGAAAATCTGTCTCTCTTTGTTCTGACTTTGTTCAGATTAGACAGTGAGGCTTTCTGCAAAATGACTCCAACTTCATCATCATAGTCATTGCAGCATGCAGGTTTTGGTTGCTTAGTAACAACATGAGTGACCTAAAGCAGCTTGGAAAAATAATGAATGTGGCACGACTGAAGAGGATGATTAACCATGGAGGGAAAGAAGGATGAACAAGAGTTCTGATTGATGAAGGTGGTCAGGTGAATGAATGATATATGTCGTGGAACATAAAACTGAAGTCTATTTTAGATAGAGTTGATCTTTATTATTCTTGAGAGTTATGTTTTTATCATCACCTTCAATACTATGGCAGATATGTCACATTTAAAGAGGAATTATCCTGCTCATGTTCAGCTTCATATTAGTATTCTGCTCTGATTGGTTAGCTGGCCGGCTCTGTTGTGATTGGTCAACCGCTAAGAGATGTCCCGCCCCTTAGCCTAAAATGTGTTGTTGTTAAAATGCTAACCAATAGAAGCAGGACTGTTACATAGTGATGTCATTATGTTCCGGTAGTAAACACAGGCATTGCAGGCAGGGGGGGGGAACTTCTTAGCTCAACTTAGATCAGGGCTGTCAAACTCAATTTCGTCGCATTAGCATTATGGTTGCCATCAAAGAACCGTTTGTAAATATCCATATATAAAAATATTATATACAGGGTTCTTACACCTTTTCCAAAGTCAAATTCAAGCACTTTTCAAGCATTTTCAAGGTGCATTTTCAAGCTTTTCAAGCATCTTACAGCTGTTGTAAATTACATATTTATATACACATACTTATACTCAAATGATTATTTCCCTACCTCACATTAAATCAGATGTTCTTTATGCTATAAACAACCAAATGTGTGTTTCATAATAGCATTCTACATGAGGATGAAACATTTAAAATGTTAGAAAAGAAAACTAAGTTTAATATTTCAAAATGAGTGACCCAGCTGTACGTAGACTGGGCATCCCATATAACCTGGCTGAGCCAATATAAAACAATCAGCCAAATAACTTTTCAATATATTATTGATTACTATTTTTGAGGTACTTTTAGGTTGGCAGTAAACACAAGTCAGAGGTAAATGGTGTACTTTTCCTCCACTACATGTATTTAATACCTTTAGTTACTTTACAGATGTGGATGAATGATGTGAAATATAATCAAGTGTTAAATCAGACTTTAGTTCCACCTGGAGTAAATTCACAAGCTACCCTGCAGTATACAAAGTCATTCAAACTAGCTGCTCCTTTACCAGCTTTGATAACACTTTCATGATCAATAATTATAAAACATATCATATACAATTATTAGGGATGCTCCGATCGCCAATTTTGGGGCCGATCGCCGGAATCAGTATCGGCCGATACCGATATCGCTCTCTTTTCCTCTCTCCCCCTCTCTCTCTCTCCTGACAGTCCGTCAGTATCTCCTGCAGCTCACTGATCCAGTAATGAGCGACCCAACAGTGGAGAATAAATATATTTATAACTAGTTTAGCTTGTTCCAGAGGTAGATAAGATTGCTAAGTGTGTTAGGTCTAACTCTTAATGTGTGTTCTGCTCCGCTCACCGGTCCGTCACAGCGGGTGGAGCTGCAGGATTTCTGCTTCACACACACGTTGCATACCGCTATTTTACTGTCATTTTCGGACACTTAAAATACTGCCAGACTAGTGAAGCCATTTTGGCGAGCTTGTTTTGCCGCGCACAGAGAAAAGTGTCATGTATTTTACATGCAACGATAGCCTAATCTAAAATGCTCTACTCTGGCGTACCTTTCGTGTGGTGTGTGGCTCGTCAGCGCAGACTCTCGCATCGTTATTGTTGCACACTTTGCAGGAGGCTACTCTTGGGCTTCGCTTGACCCTCGTCTCAGCCATGGCTTGTATTTGTCTTCTGCTAGCCAACGCTCGTTGAAACGGCAACCTCCTGGCATACTGTCATCTATCACTCTCATCAGAATGCCCAGGTCACACACATAACAAAAACACTTGCCGGTCACGCGCATAGCGCGGGAAGGCCGGAGCGGAGCTGTTTTATGTAAAAGCGAAGCAATTAAGCGCGCTCCGACTTCTTTATTTTCTTTTAATCTAAAAAGCGAAGTAAAGCATTTACAATTTCAAGCACTTTATCCCAAATTCAAGCACCATTCCCAAAATTCAAGCACTTTTCAAACCTTGAAAACACCTCGTACAATTTCAAGCATTTTCAAGGATTTCCAGCACCCGTACGCACCCTGTATATATATATAAAATGTGTTATATTACATATTCGCCTCCGCATTGGATTATTATTGTTTTTAGTAATATATAAATAAATAGCTACCTCTGAAAGCAGAAGTCTATGAAAAATAATTGCAAGTAGATCTTTAACATTTACAACAATAGTTACATTTCTTAAAAAAATTATCACCATGCGTTTTATTAAAATGGGGTAACAAAAACACATGGTTGTGCATCACATAAATACTGTATGTCAGCGGTTTTCAAAGTGTGAGGCGCGCCTCCCCGGGGGGGCGCCAGAGAGCTTCAGGGGAGGCGCAGCGTGAGAAAAAAATAACGAGAAACCGTGAAATCTAGCTAGCTAACTTTATGCGAGCAGCTACATGGATCGATTTTTAGTGAAGTTACCTAAAGTGAGAGAGGAGACAGCGTCTGGCAGAAAACGGAGGAAGTATGACCACGATTATTTGAAGCTAGGATTTTTATGGACCGGTCATGCAGGCGGACTGGCCATCTGTGTGTTCTGGAGAATCACAGAACGGCCGGTCGTCAGCGGGCCGTTGACAGCCAGCTCGGTTGGCTGACGGCCGACACCGCCCTTTATTTTAATTGTAATAATACTTACTTTGATCAAAAGCAAGTACGGGTCACGTCTGCAGCCAGAGGAGGATCTGCGTTTATTCCTGTCTACATTGCATCATCCGCCTGTGTGCATCAAAGACGCAGACTCATTGTTCTCACTAAAGTAGGGGTGAGTGTAATAAGGAGGCAAAGTTGACGTTCAGTGTGTTGCCGGGAGCATAAAAGGATTTATCCACCATGTTGAAAATGTTAAAAATGTTTAAAAAAACATTTTAAAAGATAAAATGTTTAAAAGTTGTTGCTTAATGTTTTAAGGAGGTGACGCTACTCAGCCAATCAAATGGGTGCAGTCAGTGAGTCAGCACGATAGATTCAAACTCACACAGAGACGAGACAAGACGAGAGAAACAGTCGGAATCATTTCAAATAGCGTGCTCAAAAAAGAGAAAGGTAGACAGAGAAAACAGAGCATTTCATGACATGTTCTCGTACTGGACCTCTTTGAAATGCAATTGAATGCCCCTGCATTATAGCAACAACAACAGTAATTATAATAATAATAGCAATAATAATTGGGAGTGGGGGCGCGGCTGTTCTTATGTTCTCTGAGGGAAGGCTCTCCTTCCCACACTTTGAAAGCCCCTGCTGTATGTTACATACACACATTTTTCTGTGTTATTGTTACATAACTCCAATGAATTTAAGTAACCCTCAACATATCTCATTACATATCAACCTTTTTTTAAGTGAATAATAAAGTTCTTAAATCAAGCACTATGCAAGTATTTATCATCTCCAGCTGCACACTAGACCCTCTACCCACAGCCCTTCCAAATCCAACATCTCTGCTATAAGTCCCATGATCACCGACGTCATCAACAGCTCCCTCAAGGCTGGTCATGTTCCATCTGCTCTTAAAACTGCCGTCATCAGACCCCTTCTCAAAAAAAACACCCTAGACCCAGATATCCTCGCTAACTACAGGCCCATCTCCAACCTCCCATTTCTAGCCAAGGTGCTGGAAAAAGTAGTTGCCGCCCAGCTTCAGGACCATCTCCAACTAAACGGCCTCTGGAAAAATTCCAGTCCGGTTTCCGTTCCGCCCACAGCACTGAAACAGCTCTGGTCAGGGTCACAAACGACCTGCTGATGGCGGCTGACACTGGTTCCCCATCTCTCCTCATCCTCCTGGATCTGACTGCAGCATTCGACACTGGCGACCATAACATCCTCCTTCAGCGCCTCCAATACACCATCGGACTCTCTGACTCCGCCCTGAGCTGGTTCCAGTCCTACCTGTCTGGAAGAACAGAGTATGTCTCCTGTCTCACCCTGTACACTCTGCCCCTTGGCCGTGTCATCAGCCAGCATGGAATATCATTCCATTGCTACGCTGATGACACGCAGCTATATATAAAGACAGACCCTATCCCACATGCATCCTCACTGTCACCATCATCATCACCGTTCCCATCAACATCCTTTAACACCTGCATTGAGGAGATAAAGACTTGAACGCAACAAAACTTCCTGCAGCTAAATAGCTCCAAAACAGAGGCTATTTTAGTTGGCACACCAAACCAGGTCCAGTCATCCCCAATAACCCACATCACCTTTTCTGGCCAAAACATACCCCTCCCCACATCAGTTACTAGGGATGCTCCGATCGATCGGCCGCCGATCGTTATCGGCCGATATTCACTCTCGGCCGATCGATCGGTGCTCTCTATAAAGGCCGATCAGGAGAGCCGATCACATGACGTAAAATACATTACACTTTTCTCAGTGCGCGGCAAAACAAGCTCGCCAAAATGGCTTCCCCGGCAGTATTCAAATGGCAGTATTTTAAGGTGTCCGAAAAAGACAATAAAATAGTGATATGCAACGTGTGTGAAGCAGAAATCCTGCAGCTCCGCCCGCTGTGACGGACCAGTGAGCGGAGCAGAACACACACTAATGGCGCATTTCCACTACACGGTCGGCCTCGGCCACGCTCGGTACGGCTCGGTACGGCTTGGCCGCGTTGGGCCTTAACAGGGCCGACTCACTTCATGCTGCGCTTCCATTACAGTTTAGGAACTGGGGTAGTTACTATAGTAACGCAGTGTAGGCGGAGCCGTGACGTCATCTTCAATGAGAACTCCAGAAACACAACACAGCCGTTAGCTGTTAGCACTCAGAGCTCACAGCTCCTCATATATGTTCAGAAACTAGACAAAAGTTAAACAAGTACAAACCACAGACTGCCTGTCATGGTGAATACAGTCGCTGCTTTATTTATGTCTGTATAGGCCGTTGTTGTGAGTGTGGACGGTCGGAGCATATACTGCGTTAGCTTAGCCAATCTCCATCTAGAAAAACATGCATTTTAAAAGGTGTTTCGCCTGCCGTCTGTCTGCAGACTTGTCAAAGCATTAATTCATGGTTTTTACTAACCGGTATCAGTATGTTGTTACTTCGGCATCATTTTGAAACGTATATTACAATTAAATCACGGTCAAATATGTCCATCTTGTTGTAGTTGTAGCCTCCTTGCCAGCGATGCTCTCTCTAGTTTAGCGTTTGTTGGCCCCGATAGAACCACAATTTTGTCGGGCCAGAAAAGAGGTGAAAAAGTGGCCCCGGGCCGGGCCGGGCCGTAACTAGGCCTAGTGGAAGCGCAACCAAAAACGGGCACGGCACGACACGGCACGCTTAAAGCGAGCTCCGCGCTGTAGTGGAAATGCGCCATAAGAGTTAGACCTAACACACTTAGCTATTTGATCTACCTCTGGAACAAGCTAAACTATTACTGGATCAGTGAGCTGCATGAGACGGATACTGACCTGATACTGACGGGCTGTCAGGAGAGAGAGGGAGAGGGAGAGAGGAAAAGAGAGCGCTTCCGCTCGTTTCTCCCGTGTTATTATCCAAATAATGTACTTCATTTGAATGTAATAATTATGTTGGTTGTTGTTTGTGGAAGCCCATCATGTATTGAAAAATTAATCTGAACTTTTCGATCCGTTACGATTATAAACTGAAGCAATATAAAAATGAGCCCCATTAACTGAGTCCCCATAGCCCCCCGATCCCTATCAGTTACCAACCTGGGTGTAAGATTGGACCAACATCTGACCTTTGACACCCACATCAAACACCTGTGCAAAACCTCCTTCTACCACCTCAGGAACATTGCAAAACTCCGTCCCACACCCTCCCTGTCAGATGCTGAACAACTGGTCCATGCCTTCGTCTCCTCAAGGCTCGACTACTGCAACGCTCTCCTCATCAGGACTCCTAGCGGGAGCCTTCAGAAGCTCCAATATGTACAGAACAGTGCCGCTAGGATCCTGATGAGGGTGAGAAAGTACAATCACATCACACCCATTCTTCATTCCCTCCACTGGCTTCCTGTCTCCTTCAGGATCGAATACAAGATCTCACTACTGACCCATCAATGCATCCACGGGAACGCTCTTCCATACCTCAAAGAACTACTCACATCACAAACCTCCACACGCAACCTCCGCTCCACAACAAACCATCTGCTTCGCCCCCCCAGGACCAAACTCCGCACAATGGGGGATCGGGCTTTCTGTGCAGCTGCTCCTCACCTGTGGAATTCCCTCCCAGACCACCTGAGGACTCCAGAGACCACCTGAGGACTCCCAGACCACCTGAGGACTCCACAGACCACCTGAGGACTCCAGAGACCACCTGAGGACTCCCAGACCACCTGAGGACTCCACAGACCACCTGAGGACTCCACAGACCACCTGAGGACTCCACAGACCACCTGAGGACTCCACAGACCACATGAGGACTCCCAGACCACCTGAGGACTCCACAGACCACCTGAGGACTCCCAGACCACCTGAGGACTCCACAGACCACCTGAGGACTCCTTCAGACCACCCGAGGACTCCACAGACCACCCGAGGACTCCACAGACCACCCGAGGACTCCCAGACCACCTGAGGACTCCACAGACCACCTGAGGACTCCTAGACCACCTGAGGACTCCCAGACCACCTGAGGACTCCACAGACCACCTGAGGACTCCCAGACCACCTGAGGACTCCACAGACCACCTGAGGACTCCCAGACCACCCGAGGACTCCACAGACCACCCGAGGACTCCACAGACCACCCGAGGACTCCCAGACCACCTGAGGACTCCACAGACCACCTGAGGACTCCACAGACCACCTGAGGACTCCACAGACCACCTGAGGACTCCACAGACCACCTGAGGACTCCAGAGACCACCTGAGGACTCCACAGACCACCTGAGGACTCCACAGACCACTGACGCCTTTAAGAAAGGCCTAAAAACCTTTCTTTTAAAAAAAGCCTTTGATTAAACTTTTGTTTCTGTTGTTTGTTTCTTATGCCTCCTGTAGCACCTTGGGATTGCTTTAAGCAATGAAAGGTGCTTTATAAATACAATTTATTATTATTATTATTATCTGAATTCAGCGGTAATATTTTAATGTTATGAGCCAAGACTTTGGAAACACCTTGTCTCAGACCCTGATATGTTCCTATCAGCCTGTCACTCATGATTTCAGGGGGGGGGGGGGGGGGGGGGGGAGATGAGGAGGAGCAGAGGGAGAGGAGACGGTGATCGCTGAAGTTTTCCTCCTGCTTTACACGTTTTAATATCGTCTGAATATAGCGAGAAGACGTTCATTAGCTGAAAGTCAGGGCTTTACCTGAAGTTACCATAAAGTACGTTTTTGAAACTAAAATCCATGTGTATTTTGGAATTTGCCGTGGCGATACCCGATGGATCTTGACAGAGTGGGAGATATTCTGTTTTGTGTCTCCGTGCCGCTGTAACTAAGTTCTGTTCCTTAGGCCTGACTTACCAAAAGCATGTGCCAAACATAACATAAGGTTGGCGTCAAACAGAAACACACACACGTGTACTCACAGCTCCAGAACGAGCACCACCTCAGCTCGGCTCTCAAACACATCTTTGAGCGTGATGATGTTGGGGTGTTGGATAGCGTGCAGGATGTCCACCTCCTCCTCCAGCCGGCTCCGGTCCAGGCCCAGGCGGCTGCACGCGTTCTTGCGGATCTTCAAGAATTTACCTGCCCAGTAAGTCCCGGTGGCCCGCTCATGGACCTTTCGAACCTGAGCAAAATGCCCACTGGAAGGGGTAAAGACACAGTGCAGGGTAAACACCAAGCTTCAGAAGATTAACCTCTGCACAAACTCTGACAGACCCAGCACTATCTTTGAGACTGGACATGCATCGTTTCATCAGAAATTCCCATAAATCAACAGCTGCATGTCCATCCACATATTTGAACAAACTAGATCTCTATCCTGGACAACCCCTCCCACCATGCAGAGCTGGTGAAGACGAGGAGTACGTTCAGCCAGAGACTCATCCCTCCTCGGCACAGCACCAAGCGCCTCCAACACTCCTTGTTCCTTCAGCCATTAGGCGGTACAATAAAGGCTTGGCCCCCTCATAAAAACGTATAAAACCCATGACCTGCACCCTAAAGTACCTTTGGACTTGCACTTCAAAATGGATATGTATATATTTAACATATCCACAAATATGCATTGTATATATGTAAACACTTCATTTGAACAAGATGATGCAAAATAATGTGCAACCTAGTTAAATAACTAAGTTATTGTTATTTGATGTTTTTGATAATAATCAAAGAGAAGGTCAAAATGATTTATCTGGAAAGTCGCTGTTAAAAGGATGAATTTAGTTTTTTTAAATGTATAACCATGCAAAGAGGTCAGCTATTTGTTTGTTTGGGATGTGAATGAAAGGCATTTTAAATCCAATATGTTGGAGAACATTGGAAACACATCTGTAAAATACTTTTTAAACAGCTTGATATATCCGTACCTTCCCAGAACTTCGCCGATCTCATAGAAGTCTTCCACATTTTCAGGCTTGAAGACGGCCATGTTGCTCTGCTTCACTTCCCCTGCTCCTTTGTCACTCCGCTGCTGCTTATTTAACAGCCAACTTCAAGTCATGGTCCTCCAAACTCTAAAGTTGGAACTAAGTATTAGTAACAGCAACATGTCAAGAAGGACATATAAGCACACATCATATAAATGCTGCAGGGTATCTGCAATTTCAAGAACACGTTTTTGAAAGAGGCCCTATTCTGTATCCTGTAGTGTGTTATATAGGTTTGTGTGCATGTAAATGGTCTGCAAAGGCTCTGGGTTCCCTTCAGAGGAAGTCTTCCCCCAGCCTGAAACACCTCCACAGGCAGTATGAGAGAAACATGAATACCTTTCTGAACATTAAAACATGGAGACATGTTCCAGTAGACATTAAATACTAAATTGAATCTGAAAATGAGAATAATATGTCCTCTTTAAGTAAAGTTTTAAAAAAATACTTAAAAGTTATAATATACTACATCAACAAACTAGACTATAAAACACACTGTTATAAAGTTGAATTCTAATAAATGTAATATTCAGTGCAACTAAGGTGCTGGCGGTATGTTCAGTAAGAGTGCACTGTGGAGACAATTTAGGTAGGAACTCATCAGGAGTGAAACGTTGACAAAGATCCGGGAGCGTGTCCTTCATGAAAAACTGTTCTTTATCATTTACAGGTTTAAAATGTTCACAGTCCATTTCAGCATGAGGATATAGGAAAAAGACCAACAGATACAGAGGTAAGGTAGGGGGACATAACAGTCTAAAAACACCCCCCCAACAACAACAAAAGATCTACATTCAGCATTCTTTCTTTGGTGTACACACTCTGTACAGAGGAGATTCTTTGACATCTTAAATTAGATCACTGGTATTTCCAATAATTGGTGTCCTTCTCTTATGAAACATGTCACAGATGTTGATTGATAGATGGGTATAGATCGAGTTTCCTCAGCAGTGAAGGATGTAGAGCAGGGGTGTCCAAACTAGAGCCCGGGGGCCAAATGCGGCCCGAGGACCATTTTGAATCGGCCCTCAGCAAATTAAAAAAGTATAATGGAACATGGGCCACAAATGAAACTTGTGCTTGTCTTATATTGTACTTCTTAAATATAAATGTAAAAATATATTACACAGTAGTATTCATGTGTTAATAAGACCACTTTTCAGTCAATTAAAGTTGGAAACATTTTCTAACATATCTTAGTTGATAAGAAAAAAGCCCAATGACTTATTTACATAACAAGCTTGAAATACATCCTTCCTATTTCTCCTTATTATTATCAATCTGAGGCTTCTGTGTTAAGGGATGAGCTGCCAACATCATTTACCCACAGGTGATTGATTTGAATAACTTATAACTGAACTTATGAGGCAATATACCTCTAGGGAGTGGCCCAGCCCTTCGTATATTTTTCTGTATGTGGCCCTCGGTGAAAAAGGTTTGGACACCCCTGATAGAGATAAACTAGTTTATGACTACATATGAAACTAAAGTTGCCTAAGGTAACAGATGATGACGTGTAACTCTGTCAGCCATGTTTTCTCTGATCATGGATCATTCCAACATGTTGCTTTTGCTGCATGAATTCATTCTCTCTCTTTAATATTTGGGTGTTTTCATATTTTCTTCAGTACGTTCTTCACCAATATATCAGTCTATAAAGGCCTTTCTGTGTAAAGGTTTCTGTGACATCTGATTACATGTGGGTGTAGCACTTCCTCATTTCAGGTTCTACTGTTGGTCAGCAGTGTTGGGCAAGTTACTTCCAAAATGTAATACATTACATATTACTGTCTTTTTTAAGTAATAAGTTATATTACGATATTACTGTCTCTACACTACTTTTATATTACTTTTGAGTTACTTTCACCAAAATAACCGCAAAATAATGGCTAGGTATTTTAAATGCTAAAATGTAGTTTAGTGCAGCAACTGTGTAGGCCCTTAAGGCTACTAACAACTTGTATTACAAGGCTTAGTTGAATACTCGATTCTGATTGGTCAATTCCGTTGCTAAGGAGGATCAAGAAAGAGAAAGTAAAAGAGGGTAAAAGACTGGACGTCAGATAAATGAACAGAAGTGAACACAAACAGGAACACGGTATGGGCTCTGCAGAGTTTAAGGACTTGTTAGTGGATCAGAAACTGTGAACAGAGTTGGACAGTGCTGCCATAAAGTTGTTGTTGTCGCAGTTCCAGCCGTTGGTGCGCCGTGGAACGGAGTTGTTTTTTTTCTTAGCGGAAGAAATACGATCATTTTAAGTAAATAAAATCATTTCAATTCATATTGGGAGTCGATTCCTTAGTTTGTTTAGTATCTGGCCGTGTAATAAGCGGGATAATGTGCAGCGACTTGGTCATTATGGGGAAAAGAACACCCTTCAGGCTCAACAAGATCAGCCTGACTGATTACGTAAACACCAGGCTTACAGAGAACCGGGCTTGCGGTAGAATAGTCCATTTAGCTTAGGAACCTTCCTAACGGAGTGAAATGACCCGGAAGTCCCTCAGTGGCAGCCATGATAAGTGCCATTCAAATTCTCTAAATGAAAGGAAAGGAGGTTTCAAACTTCCTTTATAACCTCCTTTAGCTTAGGAACCACTGGACCTCCCTAACCGAAAGGAGAGGAGAAAATGCTGCCCCACAATGCCTTGCAGCCGCAGCATTTGCCGTCACACAACAGTCGGCCGTTCACGGAAACAACCGATTATGACCGAGAAATGATATCATGAAAGTTACGGTGCTTATTAAGCTTTTTAAAACGTATGTGGTAAGTTGCCAAAGTGCTTTGTTTTGAACGTTCATCAGTATTATAATCAAAAAGAGAAATATGAACGTTAGTTTTTACTGAAATGATCAAATAAAGTCAACATTTCAGAGTCTTTACTGAGCTGTGTGGGGTTTGTTCAACTTTGAAAAGATGTTTGAATGGTGATATACACAGTGATAGATGTTAAGGACTAACGTTTATAATAAATACATTTGTATTGATTTTAAGATCTTTTCATAGTTCATACAATCATACGTATTGGGATCATTTGTATTAATGTGGACCGGAGGGAGAGGGTGACGAGCATAAGTTTCACTTTCCTTTTTTATTTCAATTCCAACTTTGGTCATGAAGAATATGTTTCTCTGTTGTCCCCGTTCATAAAGCATAAAACAACAGCATCAGAGCACGGTGCAGAGTCTCTAGATGAGTTTACAGTAGTCCCTTGTTCTTATTAAACATCCATGTTGTAGTCCGCTGTATAGAAAACTGTAGTTTCCATAGTTTCCCCACAGCAGCAGACGCACATTTATGACCTCCGCTGGCGCATCATAAACACGTTGGATAGTGAAAGTGCAGTCGATTCTCTAAAGTACCGCAGTCTCTTCTCCTAAATCCTTTTGAATTCTCCTATCCACTGACGTTTCACGTTTTCACGTTTCACTCCGAGGTCAAGGAATAGACGATAGGGTTAGACGATAGGAGCTGATTTTTGGATTATCCGACCGCAACCCCGCAGTGACGCGTCCTAAAACCCGGAAGTAAGTTAGCATTTTTACCACGTCCGGTTCCTTCGACAAAAAGCAATGCAATTTCTCCATAGGATTTTGGAAAATAGCTGTAAATAAGGTCTGTGTTTGACACAAATTGAAGAGACAGATCACGTTTTGTTCTACAACATTAAATACATCAGCAGTTACCCCGCTGGTGATTTTTGAAGAGTTTACGTGTCTGAAAAATGATGGTTGTTACCAAGTGGCTGAATAGGACTACAGAAGTTGTCCAGGCCATTTTACGTCATTACGCCGAACACGTAAAACACTCCCGCTAAGTTTGTTTGCCCTGTTCTGCTTGAAAGCAAGTACCTGCCTCCTGCAAACTGTTCAAACAAACGCTTCAACTTGTACCATTTAGAATCTGTATGTTTGAATATGGATCTGAAGTTGGCGTGACGTTGATGCAGCGACCCTGCTGTAGTTCGTTTATAGCATAACGTTAGCATTTTGCTTCTGGCGACTAGGTTTATGATTCGAAAATTATAAAAGTAGGGTAGACATGTGGATATTATCCGGCTGAACAAAAGGTGATCCGTCTCTTAAATGTGTGTCAACCACAGACCTTATTTCAAGCTATTTTCCCAAATCCTATGGAGAAATTGCATTGCGTTTTTGACGAAGGAACCGGAAGGAGTTTACTTCCGGGTTTTAGGACACGTCACTGCGGTTCTCTATTAATCTACCGGCACAATTTTTCTCTGGTGTCGGAATGTCTCGCGATATTAGTGAATTCTTAAAAAACAAAACACCATTTCATTTCGGGTTAAAATGAGTTGTAACTGCGTTACTGAGGATTGTAACGGGTAGTATATTACCCAAATGCCATTAGTAATGCGTTACATTACTTCATTACAGCAAAAAGTAATACATTACTGTAACTCCGTTACTTTTGTAACGCGTTACACCCAACACTGTTGGTCAGTGAACCTGAGGAGCTTTAATGTCGGTTGCAACATAACACCCTAAATAAACGCCAGATTAAAATAAAGATGGGGGCTCTTTCCTTTATCTCTGTCCTGCCCCCCAAATCCAAAGTTTTCTATCCAATATTTTAATAATAGAATTGTTGCAAACCGTTTCCATCACCATGTAAAAAGTTGTTTTATCCTAACAGTTCCCGCCAATTCCACTCCCTTCCCGATGACACATCACTGAATTATGTTATCACACAGCTCAGCAGGGATGACATCAGCGGTGTGCAACCAACTTCCCCCACTGTTCAACTGCGTGCTGTTCATGAACATACAAGAAATGCAGCCTTTGTTATATAATTCACAGAGATATAATCAGACAGGCGATGTTTACATGTAGACTGTAGTTCTATATCAAAATACTTTATATTACATATAACCGTGTTACAAATATCATCGTCGGGTCCCCAGTTATGGTCACTTAAGCTTCACCGGAGGGTTCTGACGCATTATTGACTTGAAGCCTTTAGATTCATTCATTTCTGTAAAGTAAAGTAGATAAATTGTTATTTTTTGGAATATTTAAGATATGACCTTTTGTCACACAGGTTAAAGACAAGATGCCAAACAGCCAAGCCCCCAGGAAGTGAGCCGGACCTTGTAGCAAATTGTTGTAGTGGCCAAATGGTAGGATTACAACTTCCTGTCAGTCCTTTACGTCATATGGCCCAAAAATAGTTTTTCCCATTGACTTACATTGGGAAAGAGACGTCTGTAAATCAGCGGATTATTTATTATAATTATGGTCTACGGCCCAGATACGGCTACTTTGGCTCTTGGGAGGCCGGCCAGTCTGGCTTCATGTGCCACTGAGCAACTTTCACAAGAATGAATGCGCTTCCAACGCTGGATCCAGTACTCTTTAGACATCCATGCACACAGCATTGTCCGCCAGGGCGATATGGAGTAATAACTGATGAAAAATATCGATATTTATATTTTAAGATCCGATTAAAATCCACGTTCAACCATCAGACCTACCCAAAGTGAAGTTTAGCCTCTGCATTTAACCCATTAGGAGCAGTGGGCAGATATTGCATCCAGACCACTTGGGGAGTAGTGTGGGAGTCCAGTGCCTTGCTCAAGGGCACCTTAGCTGTGCCAAGGAGGTAAACTCATACCTCTCTATGTACCTGTCTACACTCCATACTTGGTCAGATCCAGGACTTGAACCAGCGACCCTTTGGTTCCTAAGCCAAGTTCCTACTGACTGAGATACTACTACCCAATGCATGCGACAATATTCAAGGGTTAACTACTGGTTCTTTCATCAAAAATGTACATACAAATAATACAATTAGAACATGAAATCACTTTATTGTATTGCAACCTCCAAAACCAAGGAACACTTGCTACGCCATGTTAAGATATCAAACGTGACGATATGTAGTATCTATCAAAAATATTGATTTAAAGTCCAGCAATAGAAAGTACTCAGCTAAAACAACCAGAGCCATTTCATAAGGATATATAAGCACGAGTCTGGACAACATACAGCTGCTTTACAGATTCTGCTAAAACAGTAGCCTACAACTTCTTCTAAAAAAGTCTATCTGCCATTCCAATTTATGGAAACTACTCCACTGTGTGGAGCCGGTAGCGATATGTCAGGAGCAAGGATGTATACAGTACGTTTTAGGATTTAGGTAAAACATTTACCCAAACATTAATGTCAACTGAATGCGACAGAAGTATTGTAAATAATAAATACCCCATTTAAGCCCAGCCCACTGGGTCATTTGTAATCTAATATCTATAAAAGGTAAGGGTTTTTCAAGAAAACAAGAAATTAGGAAGGAAATGAAACCACCTAGACAAAACATGTTTTACTTTTCTGTGTGTTGGCATTCTTAACGTTACATACTCTCATGTCATAGAGCAGGCGTGTGAAATATGCCTTAGTTTTAGTGATGTAATGTCAATGTTTGAATGTGCGTATCTGCTCAGACCCTCTCATTCCCCTGCAGCATTTCTAACCCAACCTGTTGTGACACGTAGGAAAATAACACGCACAGTAAAATAAAGCAAACTTTCTCCTGCCATAGCGACACATGCAGCTCGGGGTCAGCTGCTATGTTCCGGTATTTTACACACAGAAAAAAAAAAAAACATATTCTTCGCTCACTGATTAATAAATGTAGCAGCAGGCCTCTGAAACAGGGCGTACGCACCCAGTGATGCTCGGCTGCGGCTCCATGAACGCTCCTCTCCCGCCACCTGTGTCTCCTCTCTGCCGCTGGAGCTCCTCACCGACGGGGCTCGCGCTGCTCTGCACCCGGCACTGAGGCTGGAGCTCTGACGGTTGGGGAATGCGGAAGCAAACTGCAGCATCCACAAGTTGATGTCGGCCCAATCCCAAACCACGCCCTACACCCTACCACTACACACTCCCCCTCCGTGACGGAGTGAACTCCGTGGAGTGACACCAGCAGCTCAACGAGGCTCCCTCCTGTCAGATGGAGGGAGTAAATACAGCGGCAAGCTTTGGGACGGCCTCCTCTCTCTCCGGCAGAAACAGGAAATGCCGTAACTGTATGTAACAACGGTTTCAAATCAGCATCTCTTAGACAAAAAATGTAAATTAAGAACTCAAATAAAACTCCAAACATCTTTCATTGTGTTACTTTTTTGTAAAGCTCTTTTAGTTTTAAACCTGATGTTTATAAGCTTCTTAGTTTTTGCAACAGTCTGTAAATATACACAACTTTATAATAAAATGCACACATTTACCTTTTTCTAGACTAAACACAGGTATGATCCTAAGTTTAAAAAATATGAGGTTATCATGAGGTTGTTAACATCGCAATTTATCAGTGGATGTTTGCTGGAACTACTTGTAAACAGCGTGTTTCCTGACGGACACACACAGCGTGACTCCGGTCAGGTAGAGACCAGTCTCAAGTCAGCACCGATGCAGACTCGCTGTTTGAGGGCTTGATAGCCCACTCCCCCTCCACACCTCTCCACACTCGTTGGTTTGGAACAGCACTTAATGTGGCGGACCCTCCGCGCGAACGCGCAAACGGAGGGGTAGTGTGTAGAGATGGGCGAGTCCTGATTCATCCGGATCATTAACCCGGATCCTAGAAATGAGCTGGTCATGACGAGTCTCCCCTCTCCATTAACCCGAGTCCTTGAGTCCCACACTTGGTGTGACGTACAAATTAAAACTATAAATTGCGTCACTCGCTACTCTCTTTATAACATGTAAAATCACATTACAACGTACCCCAAGTCCATCTACCTACCCTTTAGCAAGTATACAGTCACAGGATAGCTGCCAGAAGTGATCGTTTGGCTCAGGGGAGGGGACGCGGATCAGTGAAACTTCCTGCAGACTCGTGGGGACTCAGAGGAGCCGACGGCTCCAACAGCAGACTCGCAGATTCGCAGATTCGCAAATCCTGACTCGCTGCAACTAGAGATGGCAAATCCGGATCATTTTACGGACTCAGGGTCTTCTGAGTCAGTCATTGAAGAGATCCGGATCATACGAGTCATTTGAGTCATATGAGTCAGCATGACCAAGACCGTAGAAACCCTATTGGTGAAACCGAAAAGTTGTTGCATTTCACGAGCATATTATTATTCCATATATTTTGAATATATATATATATTTGTATATATATATATATATAATATCTGCATGTATATTTTCTATTTCGACATGTATATTTTATATTTTATTTTTATTTCTATTCTTGTATATTTTGTAGTTTTGTTTTATTGTAAAATGCCTTTTATGCTGCTGTAACAACAACAATTTCCCAATTTGGGATCAATAAAGTACTATCTATCTATCTATCTATTAAACTGACGTTATAATTAACCTCCGCTACACAGTGTATTTTGCTTTAATAAAAAATGTTGATCACAAAAAAAAAGGGTTATTTTGCGATTTGGCAAATCTGAGTCTGCTGTTGACTCGTGCATGAGGACGAGTCTGCTGGATCTCCGGATCTGCTGCTATATACGGCTCTGAGTCCGCACGAGTCTGCTGGATCTCTGGATCTGCTGCTATATACGGCTCCGAGTCCGCACGAGTCTGCTGGATCTCTGGATCTGCTGCTATATACGGCTCTGAGTCCGCACGAGTCTGCTGGATCTCTGGATCTGCTGCTATATACGGCTCTGAGTCCGCACGAGTCTGCTGGATCTCCGGATCTGCTGCTATATACGGCTCCGAGTCCGCACGAGTCTGCTCTGCTGTGTGTTGCACACACAGTGAGTCAGGATTTGCGAATCCGAATCTGCTGTGGACTCGTGCATGACGACGAGTCTGCTGGATCTCTGGATCTGCTGCTATATACGGCTCCGAGTCCGCACGAGTCTGCTCTGCTGTGTGTTGCACACACAGTGAGTCAGGATTTGCGAATCCGAATCTGCTGTGGACTCGTGCATGACGACGAGTCTGCTGGATCTCTGGATCTGCTGCTATACGGTTACGGCTCCGAGTCCGCACGAGTCTGATCCGCTGTGTGTTGCAGCGAGTCAGGATTTGCGAATCTGCGAATCTGCGAGTCTGCTGTTGGAGCCGTCGGCTCCTCTGAGTCCCCACGAGTCTGCAGGAAGTTTCACTGATCCGCGTCCCCTCCCCTGAGCCAAACGATCACTTCTGGCAGCTATCCTACTTGCTAAAGGGTAGGTAGATGGACTTGGGGTACGTTGTAATGTGATTTTACATGTTATAAAGAGAGTAGCGAGTGACGCAATTTATAGTTTTAATTTGTACGTCACACCAAGTGTGGGACTCAAGGACTCGGGTTAATGGAGAGGGGAGACTCGTCACGACCAGCTCATTTCTAGGATCCGGGTTAATGATCCGGATGAATCAGGACTCGCCCATCTCTAGCTGCAACACACAGCGGATCAGACTCGTGCGGACTCGGAGCCGTAACCGTATAGCAGCAGATCCAGAGATCCAGCAGACTCGTCGTCATGCACGAGTCCACACAGCAGACTCGGATTCGCAGATTCGCAGATTCGCAAATCCTGACTCGCTGCAACACACAGCGGATCAGACTCGTGCGGACTCGGAGCCGTAACCATATAGCAGCAGATCCAGAGATCCAGCAGACTCGTCGTCATGCACGAGTCCACAGCAGATTCGGATTCGCAAATCCTGACTCACTGTGTGTGCAACACACAGCAGAGCAGACTCGTGCGGACTCGGAGCCGTATATAGCAGCAGATCCAGAGATCCAGCAGACTCGTCCTCATGCACGAGTCCACAGCAGACTCAGATTTGCCAAATCGCAAAATAACCCTTTTTTTTGTGATCAACATTTTTTATTAAAGCAAAATACACTGTGTAGCGGAGGTTAATATAACGTCAGTTTAATAGATAGATAGATAGATAGTACTTTATTGATCCCAAATTGGGAAATTGTTGTTGTTACAGCAGCATAAAAGGCATTTTACAATAAAACAAAACTACAAAATATACAAGAATAGAAATAAAAATAAAATATAAAATATACATGTCGAAATAGAAAATATACATGCAGATATTATATATATATATATATATACAAATATATATATATATTCAAAATATATGGAATAATAATATGCTCGTGAAATGCAACAACTTTTCGGTTTCACCAATAGGATTTCTACGGTCTTGGTCATGCTGACTCATATGACTCAAATGACTCGTATGATCCGGATCTCTTCAATGACTGACTCAGAAGACCCTGAGTCCGTAAAATGATCCGGATTTGCCATCTCTAGTAGTGTGTAGGGGTAGGGTGGAGGGCGTGGTTTGGGATTGGGCCCTCCTTCAGCTTAGGAACCACTGGACCTCCCTTGTCACTACCCGATCTGTCCCCCTGCCCGATCTGTACTGCGCATGTGCGAGATGGTCCGCCATATTGGACAACTACATACGGCAACTCTACTAGGACACTTGACACAGTGGCTTTTGGCAAAGCAGAAAAAGAACCGAGAGAGATTATTGTTATTACAACGTGACTTCACTATTATTTAACAACTCTTTTTATTGGGTTCTTTTATTTGGGGTTAAATACATTGTCAGAATAAATGAGAAATGGATTTAACTTCTGTTAGACAGCTATCATACTGAATAAATATTTACTGTGAATGTATGCAAAAATGTATGGCATATAGCTGTCTAACAGAAGTTAAATCCATGTCTCACTTATTCTGACAATGTATTTAAACCCACATAAAAGAACCCAATACAAAGAGTTGTTAAATAATAGTGAAGTCACGTTGTAATAACAATAACTCATCTCTCTCGGTTCTTTTTCTGCTTTGCCAAAAGCCACTGTGTCAAGTGTCCTAGTAGAGTTGCCGTATGTAGTGGCGGACCACCTCGCACATGCGCAGTGCAGATCGGGCAGGTGGACGGATCGGGTAGTGACCAAGCCCCCAGGAAGTGCGCCGGACTCTGATGAAAATATTCGTGCTGGCCAAACGGCGGTACTACACTTCCTTTTGGTTGCCAGGCCCGGAAACACTTTTTCCCATTGACTTACATGGGGAAAGAGTGGTCTGTAAATCGTTGGATAATTTTTTTTAAACTAAATAAACTACCCAGTATGAACACTTGTATAGCCCTTATTAAAAACATTCGTTCCTCAAGTTGTAAAATGTGCTAATAACGTTATTCTGAGAGTTATTTCCCTCTGCATTATGAACGCGCATCTAACCCACGGGACCGCGCCGCCCGGCACGTTCATGTTACGTGTTCAGCACTACATGAGTTTATCTTTACCCATGGATGCACAATAAGAACGGACCCATATCGCCTTACTGCCAGCCCACGGAGCTGTAATAATGGATATATTGCACATGTTTGCTGTAATTCATCATTTGTAAAATATTATACTACATGGGCTGTATGATTAAATCTTGTACCGTAAATGTTGTATTAAATAAAGTTAATATTACCGACGTAGATTAACGTCCCTGTAGCTTCTTATTGCACTAAGAAGCTTATTGCACTGTGTGTGTATGTGTGTGTATATATATATATATATATATATATATATATATATATATATATATATATATATACAGTGCAATAATTATTTCATGCTAAATGAAGCTCTGTTGCTTGGATATCACTAGATCCTGTTACAGCGTAATATAAAAGTACATAACGATTGATGTGTAAATTAGCATAATTACTAGCTACCCGCTAGCTGCTAACTGCAGCCTCGTTAATATCAAATCTATCATAACAAACATTACCATGCTGTCATGAACGTGCGGTGCTGTTACGTGTACGCAAATTGACGTGCTTGATGTGAACGAGCATTTTGGGGGGCATGGTTAAAGTTGCGCATGCGCTATGAGCGCACATACGGGTACTTCTCAGGCATGCCGGGTAATCTGTGACGTTTCGCTCTCTCAAAAGTTGGGCCATTTTATCATCATGCGCGAATGAGCA